AGGGAGAATCCTAATCATAATGCAGATGCTTCCAATGTATCCAAGCAGGCAAAGCAGTTTATTGTGTATTGTTCTAAAAATATGGATGTAACTACTAAGTGTTTTTGCCTTCCTTCTGGATGTTTGAGAAATTTGCCCTGAAACATTACATTGGGTAATGGAGATTCAGTCCAACTTTGACCAGAAGACACTGCCTCTAATTTAGAAAGTCCAGAGTTGAGCTTGTGGATGTGCATTCTTTTATAATCTAAATTCTTCTCTTGGGAGACTACTTCTGTTCAAGTTTGGGATTTTAAGGATATGCTGGACAACATAATTCTGTGTTTCAAATAGCATCCGGCAGTTACTAAAGCTATTCATTAACCTCCACATTCCCATGTCTCAAGAGTTGTTACCAGTTGCATTAACAGAAAAGAGTGCTGGGGTTACTAGGACTTCTTTTGAGGCTGTTTATCGACAGCAATATTTAGATGTGTATATTCATAACTTTTTTAATTGCAGGTATCATAGATTCTACTTGAAACTTCAGTTTTCTTATTGTACAGATGTCTGTCGTGCTTGGTCATGGCCATGTTCAAACAATGGTAGATGCAGTCTTGGAAGTCCTTACTTAAATTAAAACAAGATCTTAATATTTGGTTCACTTGTTTGTTTTAGTGCTATTAAAAAAAAAGTTATCTGCATCAAGATTGCTTCCTTCCTCACTTGGATGGTTTTTTATAAATATTGTAGATATCCCAACAAAAGACCCAAGCTGTAAACAGACTTAACTGTTTTCCTATCAAGAGACAGAATTGTCCTACTCAGTCCAAAATAACTTATTTTCTCTATTAACAGGTGTGCAACATACAATAGACAAAACCTGCTTTCCATTTTCTTTATTTTCATTACCTACTACCGACATGTGAATTAAAGCTTAAAAAAAAATAAAGGAAAATACGGCTCTGGTGGGGATAGGTGGGGGACCAACACCAAAAACACATGGAAAACAAGGTGCATGTGAAAGCAGTGTCCCAACTCTTT